TACTTTTAGTAATGAAAATCATCTTCCCAACTCATTTTTCTTCTTTTCATGTTGAGGTGCTCGTACTTTTAGTAATGAAAATCATTTTCCCAACTCATTTTTCTTCTTTTCATGTTGAGGTGCTCGTACTTTTAATAATGAAAATCATCTTCCCAACTCATTTTTGTTCTTTTCATGTTGAGGTGCTCGTACTTTTAGTAATGAAAATCATCTTCCCAACTCATTTTTCTTCTTTTAATGTTGATGCTCGTACTTTTAGTAATGAAAACCATCTTCCCAACTCATTTTTCTTCTTTTGATGTTGAGGTGCTCGTACTTTTAGTAATGAAAATCATCTTCCCAACTCATTTTTCTTCTTTTCATGTTGAGGTGCTCGTACTTTTAGTAAAGAAAATCATCTTCCCAACTCATTTTCTTCTTTTCATGTTGAGGTGCTCGTACTTTTAGTAATGAAAATCATCTTCCCAACTCATTCTTCGTCTTTTAATGTTGAGGCGCTCCTACCGCCCTCTCGCCTTGTCTTGTCTTGTCGCCTTGTCTCGTCTCTTGTCTTCGCTTCTCTTCTCTTTTCGTTCTCGTTCTCCTTCTCTTCTCTTCCCCCTCTTCGTCTTTTTCAAGCAGGCCATGCGTTGGCGCACAGTCGCGCGTGTAGAAAAACGTATAAAAACCTTGGTTTTTCCACGCGTTTTGCGGGAACTCGCTGCCAATTGGGTGCTATATCGCTTACGCTGTCACGGCGTTATTCTAGGCAATGGCTCTTACACGACTTCGCTCTGACACCGCAACCTGTGCACCTTCCAAGGCATGTCGCGCACAAGCCCCTTGCAACCATTTCCTCGCTACTTTTTTTCGCTTACATGTCGCTTTTGCAGAAGCTCTGTGTTACACACGCGCTCTCTGCAAGTACTGTTCGCTGCCCACTCGCTGTAACACCAGCGCAGCTTTTGTTTTTGGCCAGTTGCTCTCCACTTACATGGCTCTTACACTACTTCGTTTTGACGCCACACCTCATTGACACAAACATCTCCAGCCAGCGTGCATGTTCCAAGTCCTGTCGCGCACAAACCCCTTGTTTTCACGCACTTTGATATCGTACACTCTGTTAGCTAACCTTTGCATAACCTGCGCACAAAAAACACAATAGCTACACACAGCTACACACGCCCGCGGGCCATGGCGACCTGCCGTGCGGGCTCGAGCTGATGGCCGGCGGCATGCCGAAGGCTGCAAATATAAATATATAATACAAATAATGGCCTGCAGATAGATTCCTAAGTTTCGCAGAGTCCAACCATTGAAACTTGACCAAACTGGCGAACTCAGAGGCAAAACAAAACACAAAGGTCTACCCGGCACTTGACCAACATAGTTACACCGATTCTTGAGATCTGGTTACACCGATTCTTGAGATCTGGAAAATTTTAATTGTGTAATCACGCATGCTTCGTTGCTGAATGACATGAGTTGTATCAACCATTGGAGTTTGCAAGTTGGTCTGGCTGAATGGAAATGGATGGATATTTTTCCGTTGTTTTTTCAGGCTTTTTCCGGTAATTGGTTCACGCTTTTTCCCCTACTGCTTTTGCTTTTGCTTTTTGCTTTTGCTTCTGCTGGGAGTGCTTTACAAGCACTAGGAGCTGCAGAAAGGGCAGGGGACGAAGCACCAAAGCCAGCGTGACAGAGAGAGCGAGACAGTGACAAAGCGAGGGAACAGAAAAGGTATCCCACTTACTATAGGGACTTCTTTGCGGTTGTCTTTGGGCTTCACTGGATAAAGACAAGAAACCAAGCCCAAAGAAACCCGAAACCAGTGAAGCCCAAACACAACCAGCACTAGGAGCAGCAGAAAGGGCAGGGGACGAAGCACCAAAGCCAGCGTGCCAGTGACAAAGGGAGGAAACAGAAAAGGTATCCCACTTACTAGGGACTTCTTTGCGGTTGTCTTTAGGCTTCACTGGTTTCGGGTTTCTTTGGGCTCGGTTTCTTGTCTTTAGGGCTTCTTCAGGCTTCTTCCGGAAAAGGCATCCCACTTAACGAAGGAGAAGTAGGAGTAAGGGAAGAGGAGAGAGGAACTATAATAGGGACTTCTTTGCGGTTGTCTTTGGGCTTCAGTGGTTTCGGGTTTCTTTGGGCTAAGCAAAGTAGAAATCCACCTTTGTGGCAGCGTCAAAACAAAGAAAATAGTACAGTAGTTGTGGTAACTGTGGTAAGACTCGTAGCGGGGTGGTCCGAGTGATAGAGGTATTGGAAATAGTAGGGGTGGTGGACGGTAGTGGGAACGAAAATAAAAGCGGGAGGGGGTGCGGGGGAGGGCGCAGCGCCTCCCCCACAATGCAAATCAAACATAGACAGCTCTGGGCTGCTTCGTTTCTTGATTGGTGTAATTGGGTGTCACAGCTCAAGGTGAAGGTCTTATCATCCAACTTTGTGGCAGTGTCAATGCAAAGAAGATAGTCAGCAGAAGCAAAAGCAGAAGCAAAAAGCAAAAGCAGCAGTAGGGGAAAAAACGTGAACCAATTCCCGGAAAAAAATACTGAAAAAACACACACACAGAAAAATAGGGCTCAAATTGCATCCCAAGATTCTTATGGCTCAATTGAATCAAGTTGGTTACACTCAGAGGCTCCAGCTGCTCGTTGATAGATTGGCCGTCTGATCATGTACGCTGCCGGGGGGCATTTGTCTTGCTCATGATACCGGGTGGGCTCCCGCAGGTTTCGGTCATTCATGTGCGGTGGCACCTGCAAGCCGCGAGATCTAGCAAGTCACGCGGGGACGGCAAGGTGATGGAAAGTGCCATTTTAAAAAAACAAGAGTATTACAGTATATGCAGGATTGATGAAGCTGGCGTTGCCCAATCGGAGAGCCACAAGATGAACCACCAGCGGCGACACCACAAATCTGGAAGGGAAAGAAGGCAACAAGTTTGGTAGCAAGCCACTATTGGCAAACCAACTGACTGAAAGGCTACAATAATATAGATATAGATAGATATAGACTATAACGCCTAGCATGGCGGCCCCAAAAATCACTAATTATACCACGTATACAACCTGACAAAACGCATGAAACTTGAAACCACAAAAAGATCTTTGGTGGTAGTCATGGTAGTCATCGTCATCCAAGCTTTGATAGCAGGGCCTACTAGCATCAACAGAAAACCCATCCACCACATCGCAACCTGCCATGGCGAGCCTCCCACAAGCCTCGTGGCCAAGGACCAAACGGCCTCAGTTGCATCATCCAATGGATCCAACAATACTTGTATCCAACAACATGAGGGAGCCCTGAACCTGTGAGAAAAACATAGAAAAACGTTGCAGAATGACTTTAACAAAAACCCAGTGACATGGATGGACACTTGGACGGTTAATTACGAACATGGTCGCTCACATTAGCACTGCAATAGCTTTTGCAAAACGATTAGGCCGTGGAGCACGGCCTAGGCAATCCTTGGACCTAAAGAAAGCTGTCAAAATACCTAAAGCATTTAGTAATACAAAGTTCGGGCCAGCCCGAAAGCAAGCGCTGCGAGCGTGATCGCGAGGAATCTGAAGTCTTAGAGCAAGCAGCTGCGGCAACTGGCCATCAAAGGAGGAGTTCACCCACAGCAGTGGCAAGGTCGTGGCCTCTCAAAGTGGGGATGGCAATCCTTGTTGAACTCCTTGCTGACAAACGCGTAGAAATACTTCACGCAACAAATGAAAAGCATTCAAGCACGAAATCAAGTGAGAAACTCACCACCCACGCCCAAGATCCTCCCTTTCCAAACCTCTCAAGTTGCCGTTACCATGCTCCATGTTACCAACTCCATGTCTCAGTGGAACTTGATCCAGTTGACCCGTTGAACCTAGTTGACCCGTAGCAGTAGCAGTAGTCATCGTCGTGGTGGTGGTGGTGGGAGTGGTAGCTTGTTGGGGTCAACTCCCTACGTGGTTGCAATGAAGATCCTCAACAAGGGCAGCCTTCCGTGGCCAAGATAAGTCAACACCAAAGCCGAAGCCCATCAAACTGATTGCACGGTGCGGGCGGGATTTTTTACTGACCCACGGCTGTCGTCAGGAGCTGCTGCTCAGACAAAGAACCCAAGGTAGTCAATGCCTCCGGCATACGCTGAAGGGCTTGCAAATCTGGCAAGTTTGCAGTATCGTGATGTATCGTGTAAGGAGTGAGTTGCGACAGTTAGGACCACCCAAGCTCCTCTCATGTGTCCGAACCCTTGCCAGGTGCTCTCGATCCCGGTCCTCAGCAGCTTCTGGCATCGTTGCTTCACAGCCTGCAGCTACGGGGTCACAAAACCGTGGAGCTTTCGGAAAACAGCTGTCAGGTTTGGCCCCGTCTCCATGTGGCACACCTGCAGAATCAACCTTTCTTTTGTGAGTGCTCGATGTAATGATACAATGGTTACAAACTGATGTTGCAAAATTTTGTCCTTTCAGGATGAAATCCTAGTCCTTTTTCAACGCCTGCAATGAGTCCTCGTTCTTGTGCCCAAATCAGCCACGGTCGCCAGCCATTCTCGTCTGCTGACAAAGTGTTGAAGCAACCGACAACTACCTTGGAGTAGCTCTGTCAGTCTAACATGACTATACTCTGCAATTGGCTGGGTCTTTGACCATGGAGTAAAGATCCCAAGAATCAAAGACCCAGTTGGCAGGGTCAAAACATGTTACTTCCTTGCGATGCCAGGTCGCCCTTCATGTGGGCTTGGCCTCCACAACTCTGGAATGACCCCAGGGGTCCCGAAAACCGGCTACGGCACGTGTGGGGGTTCTGAACAAGGCTCCAAAGTCGAACAGATCATGTGTGTGGGGGGGGGTGCCCGGCTGGTATGGCCCCACTTCCGTCCTTCCCATGTCTCAGCTCAGCTGCTAAGCCACGCTTGGCCCTGGTGAGGGTCACGTTTAAACGGCGCGTGTCACCGACAAAGCCCACCTTCCCTGCAGCATTGGCGCGGACAGTGGTCACTATGATCACATCCTGACATGAAGCTGAAAAAACAAACGGCAATTCATTGAAGTGATTGGAAACGGTGCATTCTCTTTCCAACATTCCTCTACGACTCTTGGCGACAGAATCAACGCCGTACAAAGAACGACAATGGAATAGCAAACGAGAAAACATGCTATTGTCGTTATCATGCGTTATGTCAATGACTGTAACAATGACTGTGTTCTGGATGTTTCTTTCATGTGTCCCTGCTTGTTCACCTAAATTTACCCGTGGTTCGCCCATGACTGATTGATACACATACAAAGTGTCAGACCAATGCTTTTCCTATTTTTGGCCCATTGCTTTCTAGTTTGAGCTTTTATGCTGTTTCTGTGTTTCTCTAGTTTTGTCAATCCCTTGGCATATTATATCTTCGCAAACGGTGGGCAAAACTCTACGAGTGCACTTGGTGCATTCTAATAACGTTTCTCGTGTTGCTGCTGTCATCGCTGCTGGCCGATGGGCGGAAAGCTCCAGGTGAAGGAGCTTCGAGCCGCTTTACCATGTTTTACCTGAATCATAGAGAAATACACAACACATCAAATCACTACACGCAAGTGACACCACGAAAGTCTCCGTAATTATTGTTGCTACACATTTGCCATTTTAGTTAAACAATATATATATATACAGTATATATATACAATTATATACAGGGAGAAAAAAGAGAGAGAGGGAGAGCCTTCCCACAACGAATCATCCATCACCTGATCTGAAAAGCATCCATCACCCCCGTCCTTCTCACGGCCTTGGAAACCATCCACACTGCTCACCTCCATGTTGAGGCTGCCTGGTGCCATACGCTTCCCAGGTGGTGGACAGCCCAGGGTGCGCCGCAACAGCCTCGCTTGGGCTGCATAGGGTGTAATGATGCCCACCTCCTGGTCAAGGGGCTGGCTGCGGTTTGTTTGGAACGTGATTGAACATATTGTGCTGCCCAAGCTTCAACGAGAATGCAGTGTGGTATATAATGTTCTATTATAATAAAAATATATATATATATAAATGTTGTTTTATATATAAATAGTGTTTACGTTATAATTTTGAGTTGTCGAGATGTGAATGGCCATGGTCAATAGCAATTTGGGCTTGCTGGTCCTGTGCGCTGATATCGTCCCAGGCCAACAAGCTCTTCAGCAGTTCTTGCACCGCTTGCACCTCCGAACTATTGGTCCAGGAAGTTCCTGCAAGTGCGGAGTCGCTACATCTTCGACATCTTCTACCATCTTCCTCTCTTCTTTCTTCTCCCTCAGCTTCGCCGAAGGAAAGAAGTGTATTTTCCCGTCCTTCAGAGACCTCTCGTCCAGCAACCGGCAGAAACGTCACTGGGACATCAGCATTTGGCCAAGCGATGCCCTGTGGAGGCTTCCTCGCACTGCCTGTGACACCCGAGAGGATCTGACCTTTGTAATACCTGCCACAGCATCAGGCAGAAGGTGCCCCACCCACATTTGCCCTATGAAATGCACCAAAAGAAAGGAAACATAAGGAAACTATTCAATTTAGCACTTCCGCTCAAAGTGAGACACATAACGGAGGGAAACGCAGAGATGCAGGGATGCATGCGGTACTGAATGTTTAGCAAATATGGCTGCACGCCCTGACTGGCCAAACGTTCAAATAGTGAGGTCCCAAATCCTTCCACATCGACCGTGAGGTTGCTGATGGTAGGAGGCAGCTGTCGATGGTCACCCACCAGTGTCACACAGCCTTGAGACTTCATCTTCATCAACGGCACCAAGGCCTGAGCAAAACGCACTAAAACACTCAACACGTCAACCGCTGTCCGACGGCATTTTCTGGGATCCGCTTGGCAAGTGCAGCCTCACTCAATGAGTTGGGCAAAGCTTCGGTGACACATTGTTGGGACCTTTTCTGGGTCTAGTGAGTCCAGTGACATCATGGCTGACAGCAGAACAAATAGTAGAGAGAACTGCAACTGGGAGAGATTGTAAGGAAACTAGGTGCCTACTAGTAACTAGATGTAACTAGTACAAATTGCTGAGGTGCATGCTTCGGTATGGCTGTCTGCGCGTCAAAACTGAAGACTGTTCTGTTTTATGGTGGCTTCTCTTCAAAACAAGTGCAATTGGAATTGCTTCTCATGATCCCAGCACAAAACAACAAAAATGGACGTCCAAACATGCGCTGCAGGTGCAGCACCAAACATCTTCAGGCCCCATCGGGCCGACTCCTTATTCATCTTATTTCAGTCGGGCTACTGAAAGCTCAGTTGCTTGAGCTGCCTCATCCAAAAGAACTCGCGCGAAGCTCATCTGTTGAATCATGGGATGGTCAGCACCAAAGCAGGTGCAGCAAACCACATCCGCTTGGTTCAAAATGCCCTTCTGTACACCAAACCTCCTGGTTTTGTAGGATGCCCCAAACAAGGGCCAGTGACATCCAGTGACATGGGCGGACATGTTTTCCAGAACCTCCCCCCAAACAAAGTCAATGAAAACCCAGCAATGCGGGCAAAATTTGCACTGTATGACCCAACCCTTGTCAGGACTTGCGTCTTTGATGCGTCACATTCTCTCCTGTCAGGATCTGCATCCTTCACCATGTCGAGCACGTTGTACTGTTCCAAGTCCGTTCGTGTTGCTTCTGGCCGGCCCACCCGGACCACACTCAGCTTGGCCTTGGCACATCCATCCACCAGGTTATCCACGGCGATGTTGCTATCCGCAGCGCAAAGGATGGGCCGCTGGTTCGTGAAGACCCAGGCACGGACCAGCAAAAGAGCAGTAGTGGTCTTTCCGGTGCCTGGCAAGGGAGTGCCATCATGGGAGTTGTAGAGAGGCCTCTTAGCAGGCGGATGATCATCGAGAAGCAAATGGTATGATCTATATATACAGCAATCATTTGCCTCAAAGGCAGGTCAGCAAGTAGATACTCATCGCTTTATATCGCTTGGATCTTTGATCCCATTTACAACACCACTGCCTTGGGTCTTCATCACCTCTCTAGCCGGCTGCATCAACTGCCCCACCTGGAGGCCCTTGGATCAAGGTAAGTTGACGTCCACAGGCTGAAAGCAAGGCGCGTCGCTGAGAGACATTGGCCTCCAACAACAGAGGGTTGTGCGGAGAGAGGGAGAAAGGCACCTCCTCCGCAGCAAGCTCCGCTTCTCTGCCCGAAAAAGCTGAGTCAGCGCACAAGAGCAAATGCTTCACCTGAAAATGTTTCAGCGGCTTCTTACACACACGGATAAAGGTATATATATAATATTATATAATACTATATATAACTTAAATACACATGATACATCATCTTCGACTTACAGTTTCGCCGGTTTCGCCCCTTGCCTAAGAGGAAATCAACAGGGGCTGGGAACGCTGTTTTCGTTCAATTGTCATATATTCCAGGTCCAGTAGCTGCCCTTACTTATACCATACCCAACATATCTGATTCGGCCCAAGAGCGTGGAGGAGTTGGCCTAAGGAAACCAAGTAGTTCTGAGTTCTGGCGGTTAGTCCTTCCCAACGAGCAGGCGGAACCCAACAACATTTGTTACAAATGACATATGACAAAATCTGACCAAACCAACACACGAATCACCTTCAACCTTCAGAAAACACGACATCTAAGGTGAAACCATCCTCTACAAAGTACGATTCAACAGTTAGAGATATCA